AAAAAAAAAAAAAAAAAAAAAAAAAAAAAAAAGAGTGATGAAAAGTACTAGTAACAACGTACTAGAAAAGTCTATTACGTATGAGATTCCATTGTCCATATTGAGCCTGCAACTCTGTATCACCATTTTTCCAAGCCACATTATTTGTCATAAACAAATATAACTGAGCTAAACAAATAGTTTATAAACCTGTAAAGAGGGACAGAGCTTCATTTTACACTGCTAGCGCTCTCTAGGATATCGGTATAGATTATCTTGTTTACCAAATACATTTACAAAATACAGGATCCTTGACCTTCTAAAATATATATGACAACCTGATTATTACTCAATACGAAAACAATATGGTCCATTCAAACTAACTAACAACAGAACAAAGTGCCCATTTCAACGAATCTAAGCTGAGATTATCAGTGACAAACAAAGTGCCTATTTCAACGCAACTAAGCTGAGATTACCAGTGAGAAACATATCCAACATTTTAAAGGGCCAAGAAAAAAAAGACAATGATTACTATACCTTACAGTTCAACACATTTATTAAGAAATTATTATCTTCTAATTGTAAATTTTAATGAGTAAACCACCAAGTGTTCTAGGATAAAGGGTGTACTAATCATTTTTTAAAAAAATTAACTTAAATATTCTTAAGTGACCATTTAATAAAATATTTGGGGTCCCCTCGAGATTATGAATAGATAATCTCCTTCCTCATGTCAATGGCTATATTAAATATGGGGTAAATGTGGAATACCCACCTCCATATATTGACTTATAAAAGGTGCCCATTTTGAATAGAAAAAGTATGCTGGTGCAATCAAAACTACTACAACATGATATTCAATCTTTTGATCATTAATTATATATCCCTCCAACCGCTTTGGCTTGATAAATTAACAGATAAAACTGTTGAAAAGATGAAAACATGGAGGAATCTTTCAAAATGCTAGCATAGGATGCATGTAAATATGGACAAATTATTCAGGGAAAACATGACCACAGTCCGCTAGCTCAAGGTGGAAGCTTTTCTGGTGTGGAGACTTGTGAGGGAAATGGAAACGCCAAAGATATAATGAAAACAGTGGAGAAGGAGTGGAGAAGCACGTTCATGGTGTTCACCCGTTTGCTTGAATAAAAATTACTAAAGGAAAAGGAAGGGGAGGGAAAGGGAAAAAAAAGGGAGAAGTGTGGGGAATGAAATAATTAATATTAATTTTATTTGGATAATGTTAAGGGTGCAGGTGAGGTGGGTTGATGAGTCAGCAGTGAAGATGATGGGGAAGTTAACTAGAATGCCACCTATGGGAAATGAGGAGGGTCCTTTTGGCTGGCATCCGTTTCACATGTGAGAGGCCAGGTACCACAGGCCGTCTCACTCTGACAGCAATGATGATTGGTAGCAAATTCTCCAACAAAGTCTAAAGATGTAACAATGACGGAGTTTCAAGAGTTGGGAATGATTACACAACTACCAAAAATAACAAAAAGAAGGTGTACATTGTGGTAGGAGCAGTAAGGATAGAAAATATATAAGGATTAAAGATTACAACTTGAAAAATACATTTATATATAGTATATTGTAATGTAGTAATAAAAACAATGAATGTGCCCTCTATTATTCTTGACAAATACTTCCACTCTATAATGAGCAACTCTCATGTTGTGGGTGAAAAGCACAATAACCTTCCTCAAGCTTTAACAAGACAAAAAGGGGTAAACTTGAAAGTAATGATAGGAGAACGAGAGATGACTATTGTGGGGGCTTGTGAAGGGAAGACTTGATCTCGTTATTAATGCTAACTTTACAGCTTGATCCTCTGATACTCAAGAAAATAACCTAGAAACTAAAACTAAAGCATATTGGCTTTTAACCATGATGTTCTACAAGTTTGGAAAGTATTTTATAGTGTTGGAAGTTCAAAAAATATAATAAAAAAGGTGATTTCTGGGTATTTTCAATGTATATGGGAAAAGGTTGAGCATGAAGAATTTTTTAAAGGAAAAATAGAGGTCTGATGTGTGAAGAAGAAAGTGGATGTGTGAAATCTATTCCAATCTGCTAAAAAATGAAGGAAAAATAATATATATATATATATGCTGTGATATTTTTGTAATTTTTGGATTAATGGGTCAGGGTAGCCCAGCAGTCCAACGGTTAGATTTGGGTTAAAGGAGAATAACTGTTGAGTTTTGAGTGGTTCTAGGTACCATTGACAGCTTTTTAGAAATGATATCATAAATTATCCAGTGGTTTTAGTGAAGGACCGTTGATTCCAACAACGAATTGTTAGTTTGCTAGAAACTACCCATTTCTAGTAATTCTTTTAGCCATACGAAATACCATTTTGGAGGGGTATTTAAGTACAGTTAACAAAAATCAGATTTGTCCAAGATTTTGGTAGATTTCCCAAGTATAATGTAATCTTTTTCAACAGTTTCCAATGCAGTGGAATTTATGTAGCCACCCTTTTCAACAGTTTCCAATGCAGTGGAACTTTTGCAGTCACCTTTGCATTAAATTCAACTGCAATTGGCTGATAAGGACTGAAATAACATCTTTGGTTGATTTTTAATAAGATTTTAGGTCTTCTAGTTAGCATCAAACAATACGATTTTGGGATCAAGCTTAGCCTTCATGTCTTCGCCACCTAGCCCTTTCTAGCAAAGTCGAGCAACATTGCCAACTCTAAGTATGGTTGGCGTGAATATCTCACTTCACCAGATAGGTAATGCTCATCCTTCCATACTTGCCAAGCCACTACTTTCAAAATTTATCCTGAGTAATTCCCATGAGCTTGGATTAATGGGCTTGTGTTCATTTGCAACAAAAGCAAGATATGAAGGAGTATATGTTCAAATATTTAAGTGTAAAATATATGAATATGTACAACAAAGAAGAATAGTCCCTTATGTGACGAAAGGGATGATGAGGATAAACATTGTTGTGCCCTTTTGTCCACCAGCCTTGGTGAGCGCTTGTTTAATGCTGCTGCATATGACTAGCGTTGTACCAAAATAAAGAATGAGTAATATGGATGTGTGTTGCACTAACGTTGTCCCGAGCCAAGCATTGCTAGTAGGTGATACCTACTAACATGTAAAATATAGAAGAAATATATTATGGATTGACGTTACCAATGATCAATAATTTTGTCCTTTTATATAGAAAAATAATGATGCGCATGACTACTGGCCAAGTTGTATAAATATTGTAGGGTCAACTATGAATAGCTTCCTTATAGCCAGAGGGACAACAATGGTTAGCTTTGTTCATGGTTGGAGTGTGAATTATGTGGAATTAGAAGAGCATTCCCACTAATCTGCCAAGTCGCGAAGGGGATAAATCTCATCAAGCCAGACTTCACCATAGTGATGAATATGTGATAAAGATAGATGAAGTTGTCTCCATGAAAAAGGGATGCTAGTCACCTCCATGGCCTTTGATATGATAAGGTGTGATGTTACTGACAAATGCTGACCTCTCTCGTCATACATGTACCATAAGAGGGTAGTCCTAGTTGTTGTTACTTGCCGAGCACCACACCACCATGTTCGGGCAACCGCCAAAGGATTGTTGGCTACAACTTGATGGATTTTTGTCACTGGAGGGTAACCATCTCGTCCAATCGCAAGATTGCAATTGTTACCGACCTCGTGCTAATCTTATTGAGTTGCGCTGACTCTTTGTCTATTTCTGAGAGCCAATGAGATAAAATATGTAGAGATCTAACCCTTTGTCTATTGCTGAGAGCCGGTGTAATGAAGATATGTAGAAATGTATAGCCTTTTGCCTGTTGTTGGAGGTTCAATAAGATAGCAAATCTAGCCCTTTGTCCATCGTTGGAAGTTGTGTAGATGTAGCCTATTGTCCATTGATGGAAGCCATGTATACATGTTGACTCAATGCACTCTAAGAGGGGGGGTGAATTGGAGTTGAAGAATTTTCACCTCTTTGCAACCACCAAACAAAAATTAAAGACGGAGTGGAGAAGAAGAGCTTGCACAATGATTTTATAGAGGTTCGGTCCAACCACTTGGAGCCTAGTCCTCTACCTTGGCTTCACTCACCAAGGATTTCCTCCACACTCTCCACTAACAAAAACAATGGTGGCTTAAAGGAGCCACTCAATCCTTTACAAGAAGAAAGGTGTTTCTCTCAAATCTCACTCCTTTACACTTAAACCCCAAAGATCCTCTCTACAGATCACTCTTGAAGGAATCAACACACCCCCAAGATCACTCACTAATAGCACAAGAGGAGGATTACAAACAAAGATCTCTCA